ATATATATATATATATATATATATATATATATATATATACTAACTAATTAATAACTTATAAGGTAAAAGTTTAATATATTATAATAATTTTTTTTTTTTTTGCTCGAGAATCTCTCGGTCACCATCTGGGACTCAACCAGAATTCTTGGGAGTTTCTTAGGATGTATGCGGTCCCACAGAGTATGGTCTTCTGTGCTTCGAAGCACAACTATCACAACTGTCACTAACTTTGTTCTCGTGTTCCGGGATCTGCTGATTTTGATGCCCAGGCTCTAGGACTTTATGAGCTTGTTGTTCTCTTTCTCGACTAAATTGAGGTCTACTTGTATTGCCACGTCAATGAGCAGACACATCTTGTCCTTCTTGTTGTGGAAATGTTTGAGGATGTTGAGTCCAGGTGGTTTGCACTGATGGTCAAGTCGGTAAACACACCCTTGTCACACATGATGGTACAGTCGTGAGTGTTCACTACTGGTTGTGGGACATTCTCATACCACTTGTCAGGCACTTCAACACCAAGTTCTTTGCAAATTGTCTAATGGATATAGCTTGCAAGCAAGTGTGGAGCAACCGGAAATTATATGACTGACTGTTTCCTCAGTTACTCCACACATTCTACATCTACTGTCGACCTGCAGGTTGAGGATCTTGCATTGGTGGTACCTGGTGTTAAAGGGTTAGTTCACCCAAAAATTAGCCCTTGAATTACTCACCCTCAAGGCATCCTAGGTGTATATGACTTTCTTTTTTCAGACAAATCCAATCGGAGTTATATAAAAAAAAATTGTCTTTGATCTTCCAAGCTGTTTAATGGCAGTCAGCGGGTGTTGCAGTGCATCAGTCCAAAAGAAGTGAAATAAAGCGCATCCATTCATAATAATAAAGTGCCTCACGTGGCTCTGGGGTGTGAACAAAGCCCTCCAAAGACAACGCCGACCTCATACGTCATCCGAATCCATTTTGAATATGGATATTTTTCTTACAAAAACGCATTGATTCGCTACAGGAGGCCTTTGTTCACCCCCCGGAGCCGTGTGAAGCACTTTTTTTAATTATGAATGAATGCGCTTTATTTCACTTCTTTTGGACTGATGCACTGCAACACTCGCTGACTGCCATTAAACAAGACAATCGAAGATCAAAGACAATTTTTAATATAACTCCGATTGGATTCGGCTGAAAGAAGAAAGTCATATGCACCTAGGATACCTTGAGGGTGAGTAATTCATGGGCTAAATTTCCTTTTTGGGTGAACTAACCCTTTAAGTGCTTGATCCTGGGCGGCGATGATTAGGCTCTCCGTTTATCCTTTCAGGCCGGATTTTCCAAGCTAGACTGGCTTCCTTGTCTACAAATGGCTCATTCAGATATTTAAAGAACTTGCCATGGATAGCCTTCTCCTCCTTCACAGACTTGATCCAATCTCGTTTTATATTTTTTCTCAGTATATGACCTTCGTCCAGAGAACTCCCGCTCGGCTTTCCACCCACAGTTTTAGCACTCTCTGGATGATCCTCTTGTCTGGGAAGACCATAGTGTTTGCGGATCTCATTCGCCGTTTTCATCAGGGAATACTTGATTTTGCTGACTCCATGCTTCTTCACCATCTTCATGAGCTTATCGCTACCTCGCTCAATGTATTTGCTAAGGCTGACTATGGCGATGTTGTACACGGACTCACAAGCTCAATAAGCCTGCGGCCACAGTCGCTTGATGTATAATCGGTTTGCGTCTGCTTTAGGATGGTGCATACCATTCATCGTTACCAATTTCCTCATCTTCCTGTCCATCTTCCTGATCTCCACTACTCTCCAGTCCACCATGCTGAAGCTGTATGTGGGGACAGGGACTGCTAAACTGTTGATAGCACTGATCTTGTTCTTGACATTGAGCTTGCTCCTAAGTACTAGGCGGACTCGGCAGTAGTACTCCTTAGCAAGCTTACTCTTCATCTCATTGTGCTGAATACCATCGCCTTAGTCAATGCCCAGGTACTTGTACACTTTGTCCTGCTTTCCTACAAAGGAGATGTGAAGGTCTATCAGGGTTTCTGCAGGCAACTTTAAGACGAAGTAAAGAACATTTAAGGAAGGGCACACAATATGTCTGTATGGCCTCTGAATAGCAACGTCTTGTATTATCAACGCTTTGAAGTTTCAGATCTCTATTACGTTTTAGATCTCCAAATATATGTAAATCTCTATGCTCAAAACCACAAGAATATAAAAATAACTTTTATTGTAGCTTCAGATCACACTGCAAAAAAGTGGCATTCCTCCTCAGTAATTTTGTCTTGTTTTCCAGTGCAAATGTCTAAAGATTTTTAAAATGCATTTACTTGAGAAGCAAAATGACATGTTTTCTGGGAAATTGATCAATGAATGATGAATGTTTTTTGATTAAAACAAGAACAAATATTTGCCCACAGGCTCAGAAAAATCTACTTAATTCAAAGGGAAAATAATTTTCATTCCTCATATTTGTTTTTATTTTAAGCACAAACTCACTACAATTTTGATCAATTTCTCAGAAAACAAGACTTCATATCTTCCTTTTGCATCTTCAGTAACTGTATCTTGATTTAAGGATGTTTAGATGTTTGTACTGGAAAACAAAACAAAAATACTAAAGAAAATAATTTTTTTTGAAGTGGATGCATCATTTAATGCCAATTTAACACTTTCTGCTTCGATTTAACACCTTTTTAAGGCCTTAATTTGTGGAAGGGGCAAATTAATGCTCTTTATGGTCTGTGGAAACCCTGGTCTATAAACAAAAACTGAACAAATACATTGCAAATGCTGTTAGGTTTTGCACCATTTTTAAACACCTCTAATTTTATGGTACTGTCGTGCAAAAAAAAAAAAAGATTTTTGAAGCACTAATATATAATGTAGCATCTTATTTAATGAGTAAATGTTATACAAAAGCATTTCGAACCACAGGACACAGACAAGCAGGGCTCTACAGTGCGACCATTTCAGTCGCATTTGCGACTGAATTTTAAGGCTAATTTTTTATCAAATTTTGTATTATTGATTAGAAGGTGCTCCTAAATTTTTGACTGTGCTCCTAAATTTGTTTTAATTTAAGTGCTCCTCAAAAGAAAAGTAAGCGAAGAGCCCTGACAAGCAAGGCTTTGTTCTTACCTGCTCCTCAAATCCCACCATGTCCATGGCGTTACACACTTCAGCATATTTCACACGCCAGGCCTGAACCACGTCTTCCTGCCCAAACCTGCCATTCAAATAACTGACAAGAGCAAAAAGATGTAAGCTTACTGTTAGGTTTTCAGGAATATGATTTATATGCAAAGTTTTGATACACAAACAGATGTGCTTTGAAAAGACAATATTTGGTGACTACAGTTGTGTTATGGGTTAAACAGGTTATCATGCAATTCACTGAACATCAACACAAAAAAGCAGGTAAAAAACAGAAAATCTATTGAAGCTTGTCAAAGACTAAAATATTAAATACATGAAAACGTATAAAATTTAAAACTGGACGTTTATTTGAAATTAAAGACTCACACCTATTTTCAGTACAATAGTGGAGTAATTAAGATCCCCGACTTTTTTTTTTTTACAGTAAAAATATATGAAGTAACAGTGAATTCTACTTGGCTGATTCAGAAGATGAGAAACCCATTTTACCCTCAAAGGGGTTTGAAAACCAGACATAAACAAAAAGAATTGGCTCTTTACCTCAAGTACAAATAGCTATAAAGTATATTATTAGATACTATTAATTCTATATAATACGATTAATGCTATAGAACTGTATAGGAGTTCATAATTTCTAATTTTTTATATATTTTCGTCTCTGACAACCTGTAATAGAGGTGTTATGGTTTTGCATGATTCTTTAGTATGTTTATTTAGTGTTAATTTTTGGTGAATTGCATAGAAACCAATAGAAGTCAATCTGATTTCCAGCCAGGATTAATAGCTAAATAAAACTAAAACTGAAACTAAAGTTAATACAATAAAACCATTTTCGTTGCTTGAAATAAAATAAATGTTGACTGAAATAAAACATATATATTTTTTTATTTCAGCTAGTTGCTAAGGCAATATTTATATTGCCTATTTTAATTTAGTTTCACTTGATGTACTAAAATAATTATAATAAAAAAAAAAAAAAATATATATATATATAGTATAAAAACAAAAACTACTAAGATGGAAAAAAAAACAGTCCCTAAAGCTTTTGATAAAATTAAGATGAAAATAGAAAATATAAAGAAAAGATTCAAAATATTATAAAAAATATATATAATAGTATGAAATTTAAATTACAGTTTCCAATACAAGTGACGTATGTTTTTGTATGTAACATGTTGTATGTAAAAAAAAAAATAATAATAAAAAAACCGGAGGGTTCATATGATGCGATTTCAATTGTTCCTTTCTCTTTGGTGTTACAAGCTTTTGGTGCATAAAGAAGATCTGTAAAGTTGCAAAGACTAAAGTCTCAAATCCAGAGAGATATTCTTTATAAAAGTTAAGGGTCAACCACGCCTACCTAAAACACCTCGTTCTAACACGCCCCCACATGTCTACGTCACGATGTGGGAAGATTTGCATAACGCCGCCCAAATGTTCACGCAAAGAAAGAAGGCGTAACTTTTATTCTCGCTGTAGTATTGTTGCTGCCGCCGCCATGTCGTAGGGATTAAAATATCTATCTTCGTAATGACATTTTTCTAACTTTCTTAAAAGTATGTAAAAATGTAAAAATCGTGCTACTGTAGTACATTTACTCAAGGCTCAGACCAATTTTTGTCGCACTGTACAGCCCTATCAAAACCTGTTCCAGATTGCAGATTCGGGAGCAGCTCAATTTCACGTCCGCCTTTCTTCAGGTCACTCCACACAGTCGTTCACAGAAATATGTCAACAACTAGACTTTATCGTTATTATCGCGGGAAGACGAATTCTTACCGTGTGGAAAATTTTTACCGGTATATCGCAAACGGTAAGATATCGCCCATCCCTACCCCACTGGATGCAACAAATGCCTCATTTATAATGAGTTTTAATGTTTTTGTCTCGTCGTTCCGGCCTGACAGGGCATCACAATATGGTGAGGGGCGTAACATTTCAGTCACACGCTTGAGGTATTCGGCCAATCACAACGCACTGGATAGCTGGCCAATCACAGCACACCTCGCTTTTTCAGACCGATGATCTTTGTAAAAATAGACGCATTTCAGAAAGACGGGGCATAGATGAGAAACAATAATGTACAGTATGTGGGAAAAAATTTGTTTTTGTAACCTTATAACGGCATAAACACATTTCATTACACCAAATAATGTTCATTTTAGCAACATCATATGACCCCTTTAACACTGAATTAAATAACTTCAATTGTATATTAGCCTAATTTTGGAACATTTTTAAAAAATATTTTTATTGAACAGAATATGTAACTCGAGCCTTGCGTGCTCTTGTGAACTTGTTCAAATCACTGTAACGCACAACCTTGAGTGTTTTCGAATGCGTCTCAACCCATCAGATCTTTGCATCACCTGACAATGTTTTGTATCGACCTTTTACACAATGAATCCTTAGCCGTACTAAGAAACATGACGTCCGTACCACAAATAGTTCTGTAGGAGTTGTCGTGTGACACACCTCTAATAAACTGCATGGGTAAGATGCTAATCTATGACGCGCATCGTAAACAACGTTGCTGATCCGGTTTCAAAAGCACATGACATCACAAGTGACTCACCGGTAGTGCGTGGGGTCCAGGAGGCCGTATATCTCTTTATCCTCCATCGAGATGCCAGCCAACATGAAGTAGAAGATGTGGAAGTTCTGCTCTCCCTCATCCTGATGAACCACACGGGATTTCTCCAGGAGGTACTCATTGATTTTTGCCCCTTTGACTACAAAAACACAGAAACTGAGGTTAATGTTCAATCAAAGAAGATTGAATTGATTTATTGGTCTAGAAACACGCCCAATGGATGTTATATGATCCATTACGGTCAGTGGGAAGAGCGTTATCTTTTCTGTCTGTCGTAAACAAACCTGAAGAGTTCTGGAAGCGGAGCTGGATGTATTTCCCGAAACGACTGCTGTTGTCATTCATGACCGTCTGAGCGTTTCCAAAGGCCTCGAGAAGTGGATTCACCTGTTTATAGACACAACCAGACGCAATCATGTTAGGCAGAATCTAAACATAGAAATAGGAAGCGTTGCTTTTAAAAAGCATCCCAGAATGCACCACAAAGCTGGTTGAGAGAACGGCGATACGTTTTAGTCACAACACCAATTTGTTCACTATAATTAGTTTTCTTATCAAACTGCTTGGCAATAGCACATGATTAAAATGGATAAATAAACTTCATTCATTATTTCATTTCACACACACACACACATATATAAAATGTGTGTACATGTATATACACATTATAAGCACATACACATATACACTATATATGCATACGCCATTACATTTTTAATATATACAAACACATACACATACATATATATTCACAGTGGTGTGAAAAAGTGTTGGCCCCCTTCCTGATGTCTTTTTTTTTTTTGCATGTTTGTCACACTTTAATGTTTCAGATCAAACAAATTTAAATTTTAGTCAAAGATAACACAAGTGAACACAACATGCAGTTTTTAAATGAAGGTTTTTATTAATAAGGGAAAACAAAATGCAAAACTACATGGCCCAGTGTGAAGTGTTTGCCCCCCTATTAAAACTGTGGTTTATCACACCTGAGTTCAATTTCTCTAGCCACACCCAGGTCTGATTACTGCCACACCTGTTCGCAATCAAGAAAACTCTTAAATAGGACCTGCCTGACAAAGTGAAGTAGACCAAAAGATCCTCAAAAGCTAGACATCATGCCGAGATCCAAAGAAATTCAGAAACAAATGAGAAAGAAAGTAATTGAGATCTATCATTCTGGAAAAGGTTATAAAGCCATTTCTAAAGCTTTGGGACTCCAGCGAACCACAGTGAGAGCCATTATTCACAAATGGCAAAAACATGGAACAGTGGAGAACCTTCCCAGGAGTGGCCGGCCGACCAATTTTACCCCAAGAGCACAGCGACGACTCATCTAAGAGGTCACAAAAGACCCCACAACAACATCCAAAGAACTGCAGGCCTCATTTGCCTCAGTTAAGGTCAGTGTTCATGACTCCACCATAAGAAAGAGACTGGGCAAAAATGGTTCCAAGATGAAAACCGCTGCTGAGCAAAAAGCATACATAAAGGCTCGTCTTGATGATCCCCAAGACTTTTGGGAAAATACTCTGTGGACTGACGAGACAAAAGTTGAACTTTTTGGAAGGTGTGTGTCCCATTACGTCTGGCGTAAAAGTAGCACTGCATTTCAGAAAAAGAACATCATACCAACAGTAAAATATGGTGGTGGTAGTGTGATGGTCTGGGGCTGTTTTGCTGCTTCAGGACCTGGAAGACTTGCTGTGATAAATGGAACCATGAATTCTGCTGTTTACCAAAAAATCCTGAAGGAGAATGTCCGGCCATCTGTTCGTGACCTCAAGCTGAAGCAAACTTGGGTTCTGCAGCAGGACAATGATCCAAAACACACCAGCAAGTCCACCTCTGAATGGCTGAAGAAAAACAAAATGAAGACTTTGGAGTGGCCTAGTCAAAGTCCTGACCTGAATCCTATTGAGATGCTGTGGCATGAACCACAGCGGTTCATGCTCGAAAACCCTCCAATGTGGCTGAATTACAACAATTCTGCATAGATGAGTGGACCAAAATTCCTCCACAGCGCTGTAACAGACTCACTGCAAGTTATCACAAACACTTGATTGCAGTTGTTGCTGCTAAGGGTGACCCAACCAGTTATTAGGTTTAGGGGGCAAACACTTTCACACAGGGCCATGTAGCTTTGGATTTTGTTTTCCCTTAATAATAAAAACCTTCACTTAAAAACTGCATGTTGTGTTCACTTGTGTTATCTTTTACAAATATTTAAATTTGTTTGATCTGAAACATTGAAGTGTGACAAACATGCAAAAAAATAAGAAATCAGGAAGGGGGCCAACACTTTTTCACACCACTGTATATTTATAGCTAATTCTAAATCATGTTAATTTCTACCAGGTGTCTGTTAGAGATCACTACACTGGAGTACAGAGCACTATTAATTGTTCTTCATGCGCACAGTAACTGAAATTTAAAACTGTTAAAAGAAAAGGCTCAAACTAATGCACAGATTTAATACACTATGCATCAGAATCTCTTCCCTTTGTGCTTATATTTTATATATAATTATATTTACTTGTTTTTCCATGAATATATATTACAATACAAAAAGCAATGTGTAACATTTGACCAGATTACACCCATTTACTTTAATTTTTTTTAAAGTTTAGATTTTATAAAATTATTATGAACTCATTTTTGTAGAGTAACTTTTGCTGCTGAATTATCCACTAACCTAGTTTAGAATAGTATTTTTCTCATAGATGATAATATATTTCTTTAATTTGTTATTTTTCTTTATAATGAAGTTGTCTATATTTAGTAGAATGTGTGTAATACACAAAAGAGTGATGATCCGGTGGACACACACTGAGGTATAGAAAGAAAGAAAAAACTGTGCTGGTATCAGAATTGTCCAATACTCAGAACTTTGATATCAGATCGGGATCGGTTCTGAAAAAATGGTATCGTGCCATCCCAAGATATAATAAACCTGTTAGGAAAATATGAACTGTTGTTAGAGAGGAATTGAGGAACAATCTTTTAAGCTGTGCTCAGTCTACTATAATAACTAGATTTATAGCAGTATGTCAACTATTGACTCAGTTGGGTTTATTTTATTGGCCATTTAGACCAATTTTATTAATTATATTTTATTTATTAATGATCAGCTACTGAGCTATGAAAGAGCAGCCTCTGAGCAATAAGACTCTCCTCTGGGACTATATTGACAACTTTGCTTTTGAACCAACAAGCAAGAGAGCAAAAGGAAGCAGGGAATCTGGACTGTTGAATCTCCTAAAACCAGTTATTCCACTTCAGAGGGCAAGAACAAAGTTTGCTCACTTCTCTATGCAAACATACTGTACCGTGTGACAACAGAAGGTTTTCTTCAAGATAACAGTCTTACACTTTAAAGCACATCACACATCGTAGGAACAGGATGTTGAAATGTGTTATACGGAAGCACAAAAGCAGAAAGAGAAGTCACATGGAGCAAAGCCAACTCCATGCGCAAATGGGGGTCAAAGTGTATCACGTCCTGATCAGGTAATATAACAGCAAGAGTCTTATGCAATGCTTTAGAGAGTCAAGGTCACTTCCTTCCAAGGAAATTTTCTCAGATGTCTCTCTGAACTCCCCCAGACATCCGGTCTTCTTGATAGAGTTTTGTAAAGGCTTGGAAACACTCTCAGACATGTCAACATTTTGACTTAACTGACAGTGAGAGTTTGAAATGGGACTATCTGTTTGTCTGACCGATGGCTGATGGATGAAGCGTTCGGGAAACCAGTTTAAAAACCTGTTTTTGTTACATTTGCAGGGACTAGTGATGCAGAAAGTACATGCTTCACCTTTAAGAAATGCTCAGATATAAATGTTAATGGAACATCCTTATGTTTTAGTATAAGTATAAACATTTTAGTGGGCAATGAATGCAGATTTTTTTTTATGTCCAATGCAATATTTAAGAAACCATGGTGGCTGACGACCTATATAACATAAGGCTCTGAAATTAAATTAATATTTATTTTACATAGTATTTACTAAAATAAGTATAAATAAATAAATTTGATAAAAATAAAAATCTGTAAAATAAACAGATTTATAAAATGTTTATTTAGGAATTTCTATACACGCACACACACAAATCAATTATAAATCAATATTTGTGATGATATAATCACATATTAACAATCCTTAATTTCTAAATACTATGTTTATAATTTAATATTTATATATACATATAATAGTATCAATTATACTTCTATTTAATCATTTAAAGATTGTGTGTGTGTGTGAATTAGAATTTAGAATTAGAAATAAATACAAAAATCAAAACTTCATGAAAAAAATAATACATCTGATAAACAGATAAACTTGTGTAGAAGTTTGTGACATGACATGTTTATTAGATATTCAATTACTTGTTTAAAATATGTATTTACTGAATGTTGTCAAAATAAAAGTCTCTCACAACACTTATCGACTAAACAGAACAATTCTATGTCAAATATCAGCTGATAATATCAGCAATGGGAATATATTGATCAACCACTAAAACATTTTCCCAACGTTGTGCAAATTTGTTAGAACGTCACATTGATCTCAATGTTCGGAGCACCAACAATATGCAAAAACCTTTAATAGTTCCCAAAATAGTTATAATGTTCAAATAATGCAAATGGTAAAGCCTAAAGATGAAACGTTTGAACTTTTGGAACGTTAGAATTCAACATTTATAGAACATGAATAAGAACATTGTGCTAACATTTCTATTCACATTAGAGAAACTGGGCAGCTTAACCTTCCCACAATCAAAACAGAAAATGTTTTGACAACACTCATTTGTGAAAGTTGTAGATCTTTGCAAACATATGTAAAGTATTGAAGTGTTTGGGATGTGGTTTTTAATGATGAGACCTTTTTTGTAATCAGGCTCTCAAAAAGTATATAAAAATTTGGATATAGATTTATCGGCCAACATATCGGTTATCGGCTTTCAAAAATAAAGAATTATCGGTTATCGGTATCGGCCAAAATGTTCATATCGGTGCATCCCTACGATCTACTGTTAAACTGCATATGAACGTAAACACTCCAGGGTGAAAAAGATACTTTATTGCTCACTCTCTCTGCTAAAAAAAAAAAAGTTCTGCAAACAAACCATGAACCTACAGTAAAACCGCAGCAATTACAGTAACTACAAAGAACAGCCTAACAGATATCAATAAATATTGCCTTTCAAAATAACCAACCATCAGAAGTGAGCTCACTCAAAAACACATTGTCATTTACAACTTGTTTAAGCAACATTCTCATTTCATCAGAAGTGACGTGCCAAAAAACTGGACATTTCATTGCCTAAAAGTGCATCTCACAATAATGTCAGTTTCAATGATCTGAAGCAACACAGGAAACTTGTTTAGTTTATACACTGTGGTTTTTTTTTAGCTATGTTGTGCAATCGAGAATAAAATTTGCCAACCTGCTGTTGAAACGTGAAAGACGTGACATGTACAGTGGAACCTGGGTGTTTTGTAATGTTTACATTGACGCAGTGGCAGACATGATGATGACTTTCAGTGTGAACATGGAAAAGTGTTTTATAGTATTGGTTATCGCCTATAATTAAGTACAACACCAACTGCTATCAAATCACAGCACTACACCGAACCAGGAAGTACTGAAGGAGCAAACAGAAATAACCTCTACTGTGCACATCTGTTCCTCAAACCAACCAGAGACCTCAAATTACAGACAGATGCTCAAAAATATTGCTGTCGCACCCACATATTTTCAGACGCCACATGAAATCGCTTGAGTATTTTTATACCAAGTTTAAGAGGGATGTATTAAAGAGCCTTTTGCTTTTTGTATTCTATCTTTTTATTTATTATACAATTAACAAAAGCAAAAAGGCCTCTAACACTAGCTTGCTCTATTCTTTTTCTATTCTATTTATTATACAATAAAAAAAAAAAAAAACCTTGCTACGTGTATTAACGGAGTCTTGTTATAGCACTTGCGTATCATTGCTCTTTTGTTGATTTTGATTGCTTCCATTGTCCTCATTTGGAAGTCGCTTTGGATAAAAGCGTCTGCTAAATAACTAAATGTAAATGTCAAAAACGGCCTGATTTGCTATTTATTATTATTATTATTATTATTATAAGTGGGCGTTCTCATTCTAAAACGCAATTGATTGGATAAAAATGCCTCAACTGCAAGAGGAGTAATCAATTTTGTTAGGCATTTTACTAGAAGAAAAAGGTTTTACATGTGTATTATAGGGCCTTTCGCATCGCTTTAGTTCCAGAACTAAACGTACGGTACTAAAGTACTGAGACGATTTTGCGCGAACTATTTCCCAGTACCATTTAAAGGGTTGCATTCGCACCGAGAGTGTGTACTAAGAAGTGACGTAAGCCAGTCGACAGCGACGTCATTTGTGCGCGGCGTTCAACAACAGAAACAAAGAAGAACAACATTAACAACAGGAGGATGGAGGACGCTGTGATCGGAGCTGTGTGGTTGTTGTGTCTCGGGGGTTTTTCAATAATGGACATGGAAAGTCGACATATACGTAAAGCGATTGAAAGAACGGAAAGGAGGACTAAGAATCTCCAACGACAACTGGCAGTGCTACATTTGCTACAAGTGCCTGCACTTCAGCGTCCGTCCATCTATCGCTGTTCTCCATACTTGCCAAATAAGTTGACACAATGTTTACAGTACGTTTACACTGCGTTTTAAATCATGGCGGGTGAGGGCGTTTTCATACGCGTTTGGCCTACTTACATCATGGGTAGTACCGGTTGTGCTGGTTAGACCCTGCTCTGAAGTAGGAGCTAATTTGGTTGTTGAAAAAAGCAGTCCGGTACTAAAAATCGCACCCAGTTCCGGCGGTGCGAAAACGCCAAAATGTGGGTAGTTCCACAATTAGTTCTGGTACTATGAAAAGGTTCATGCGGTGCGAAAGGCCCTTATATTTGCTAAATCTTTTAGGTTTACACTAGCATGAAGATGCAGGATTTCTTTAGATTTTATGAAGGAATGGTAAGATTTTTAAAGACCCTTTTAAGACCAATTAAGGAAATTTTAATAAATAAATAAACATAATTTGTCAATAAAAGTTGCATTAACCAACACTTTAAAGTTTCAATATCATATATTTTACTTCTATATATACACTTTACTTCTGATGATGTAAAAATAAAAAAATTAAAAGGCAACTTTTTTTTTTCTGAGACATGTCAAAATAAAGTGAGTTTATGATTAAAACAAGAACAAATATCTGCTCAGAAAAATCTACTTAATTCAAAGGAAAAACAAGTTTTCATTCCCTATTGACATACTGACATTAGTTTTTCTCGTTTTAAGCATAAACTCACGTAATTTTGTGCAATTTCTCAGAAAACAAGACTTCATATCTTCATTTTTGCATCTTAAGTAAATCTATCTTGATTTAAGGATGTTTAGATATTTGTATTGGAAAGGAAAACAAAAATTCTAAGGAAGATATTAGCATGCAACATTTAATGCAATAACTATGAATTTAAGACTTTCCGCTCTGATTTAAGGCCATAATGTGTGGAAGGGCGAGTTAAGACTTTTAAAGACCTTTTTAAGACCTGCAGAAACCCTGAGACGACCTCAAAACTAATAGACACGGACTAAAAGCCACAAAACTCCAAGTTTGACTTCACGGGCTCTTTAAGCCATTCCCAAAAACACATTATAACAAACAAATTAAACACACCCCATATACCCACCATTTGAATATGTCAGAAACCACACACGTGCCTTTAACACACACACACACACACACACACACACACGAGGGTTGGGCGCAGTTTCAGTTTCCTGTGTGTAAATCAAACACCCGACCACCTGAATGCAGCCGGTAAATCATGTCTCATTGCAGTCCTAATCTGTGCAAACCTGGTGGCTGTATTCAAATGTAGACGCATCTGGCGGGCCGTACCTGCAGGATCTGCTGCTCTAGCTGGGAGTTGGCCTTGCACAGCTCCATGATGTGTCTCAGCAGCAGTTTGGTGCTCTCGGTTTTACCCGCGCCGCTCTCACCACTGCGGGACAAATGGATAGAACATATATCAGACTGTTAGTGTTGTAGTAAAATAAACGCTGGTGTCATGGGACAAGGCCACAGAAGTGGAACTCAAGTGCGCCAAGATACAAGAGAACCAAAACATGTCCAGGCCATATTTAACACCAGAATCAAAAGAAGACTATATCTGGACTTTATTTTCATGTCAATTAAGAACAGTACAGCCAAGGATATTTTATCTTTTTGAAAAATTAAATTAATATAAATAGTGCCAAATTTAGTGAAAGCTTGCTTTCGCCAAAGGATTTTGTATCTCACAATTCTGACATTTTCTAACAATTCTGTGAAAAAAAACCCTCAGAATTGTGATATAAAAGTAAGAATAGTGAGATATAAATTCATAATTGCAAGATATAAACTCAGGACTGAGATATAAAACTCAGGATTAACTTGAAGTTCTGTGAAGAAACTCGCAATTGTGAAAAAATGTTTTTTTTTTTTTAAATCAGAATCATCTCATAATTCTGCGAAGAAAAGTCGTAATTGTGAGACACAAAACAACTGCGAAAAAAAAAGTAAATTACCTTTTTTATATTTTTATTCCATGGTAGAATAAAAAAGAACTCAGAATTGTGAGAAAAGTTGGTAATTCTCATTTTATGTCTTGCAACTTTGAGAAATAAACAATATAAGCTTAAGATTTATATACATATACACTTATATATACACTTTTTTTTTTTTTTAGTAAATACAAAATAATTCCATTCATCATGACACATTTTACATTATTATAATAATATTTAAACTCGCAATTCTGATGGCATTTTCTGGCGAAAATTTAACTATGTATATAACAAGTAATTGCACAATACAAACTCACAATTCTGAGCAGAAAAGTCAAAATTGTGAGATATGAATTCACCACCGCAAAAAATTTGTGATTTAAAAAAACGCAATTAATTATTATTTTTTCATCCTCGTTGGCAGAAACCGGCTTCCATAATTAACAGTGCATCAATACGGTTTAGCTTGTGTTTTTAAATGAAACAGACACCAGGACTTTTATCTGATGTGTCAAAAATATGAGGGAATGCTGGTCTTGTCTCTACGTGTCTCACTGAACAAAACAAACATGACTGGGCAAGAAACTTCATACTGTACTGACACATGCCTGACCATCTAGAGTTTCTAAAACCCCTCAGACATGCTCTCCTGGAGAAACCACTGGTTCTGGTGAATTACTTTGATTGTAGCACAAACCTGATCACGATGCACTGGTTCTTGGGTCCCGTGGCCAGGCGTCCCAGCATGGACTGATAGGCCCGGTCCGCCACAGCAAATATATGAGGGGGCAAAGACTTCTTCTCATGGCACTTATAACGCTCAGATACCTGCACAGGACAAATCAGTTTAATTAACATTACATGTTTTCTGGCCTCAAATCTTCTTAGCAGCCAAAGAAACACATTCTTACCTCTTTCTCATAGATTGAAAGATATTTAAATGGGTTAATAGCCACCAAGATGTCTCCTATATAGGTCTGTAAACATATAAAAACTCACAGTTAGTCATATCTCAGTGATATAAAGCCGTATTTACATACAGTCCGTGAATAACAGCTGTCCCAGAGAACAAGAGCTCGCTGTTTTATCGTCTCCAGAAAACACAGCTGGTTTAATTCAGGGCTTTACGCTGCTGTGTGGTATTTTTAAGGCCATTTTACAGGTTTTAAGCTAACGTTACTCACATAGATGAGGTTCTGTGTGAAGCGTCCAGTCAAAACCTCCAGCAAACGTTTCTCGTCCAGCTCGGAGAGATTCGCCAGATCTTCGGGCAGCTTTTCCTCCATCGTTCGTCTCTAATGTTGTTCGTGAACTTAAAACCGTCAAAAATCTTACTGTCTCGCATCACAAAACAACAGCTAGTGTTTATATCCACGCTCCGTCGCGTCCACGCAGCGCGCGCTCACTCTCTCTCTCTACGCTACTTGAGTGTCTCTCTCTCTCTCTCGCGCTCACTCTCTCTCTCTACGCTACTTGAGTGTCTCTCTCTCTCTCTCGCGCTCACTCTCTCTCTCTACGCTACTTGAGTGTCTCTCTCTCTCTCTCGCGCTCACTCTCTCTCTCTACGCTACTTGAGTGTCTCTCTCTCTCTCCGCCCTCAGCTAATAGACACGATCGTTAACCCTTTCATCACAACTTCAGATTTAAAGGGGTCATATGATGTTTCCAAAAAGAACAGTATTTGGTGTAATGAAATGTGTTTATGCGGTTTAAAGTTTCAGATTCAACGATCTATGCTAAGCTACAGCTAAAAGTGCTACCACCAGACCCGGAGATCGGCTGAATGGATTAGAAAACGGTAAAATTCAACTGTTTAACTCTAGGGGAGTTGGAAAATGAGCCTATTTTCAAAAATAGTGGAATGTTCCTTTAAAGTGATAGTTCGCCCAAAATTGTAATTCTGTCACCGTTTAATCACTTATATGTGACCCTGGACCACAAAACCAGTCATAAGTGTCAATTTTTTGACTTTTTGAGATTTATACATCACCTGAAAGCTGAATAAATAAGCTTTCCATTGATGTATGGTTTGTTAGGATAGGACCCGGGCCGCTGCTGGCCAAATGGGTGCCCTAAGCAGAATTGTATTGTTGTGCCCCTTCCCCAAATATTATGGAAGTAACAAAAATTATATATATATAAAAAAACAAAAAAAAACCTGCTATAGGGGTCAAAATAGAACTTTAATAAAATATAAAAGTAAATACATTGAAATTAAACTATTATTTACAAAGTACAATTGTAGTTCTGTAGCAAAAAAATAAAAAATCAAACTAAAATTACACATATTAAATAGTAACAAATTTCAGTATTGACCCTGCATTAAATGAAGCAGAAGACATTAGTCACTGAAGAATTACTGTGTGCACTTCTAAATAAACAGCTATTAGATAATAAAAAAACATGTTAATTTTTGTAAGGGTTGTGATGTCCATATGTTTTTGTTGAAGAAATTATAGAGGCTGTAGCAATTCTATCGCAAAAAAGGTGGCCAAAAATGAAAGATTATGTGGATATTTGAATGAAATGTTTGGTCGATATTAAACAAGCATATGATCGTCCTGTAAGTGTAACAACAGCGATTACCAGGCCTTTGGCACCCTTTGCAGGCATTTGTAAATTGTTTATTTATTTTGTATTACATTATGTAACAGTGTTATTCAATGAAACAAATTCAATAAAAACATTTTCAATTCAAGTTTATTTATATAGCGCTTTTCACGATACAAGAAACAAATCATTGCAAAGCAAATTAAATTTCTACAATATTTAGTGAGACGATGAACACTATTAACATCAGTTAATGTACATATGGCAGAAATGTACAGAAAAATCTGGTAGTTCTGTATGTTGTTTCAGGGTTGGCATCATCTGAGGTCCTCTGAAACCATATGATTATTATTAATTAACCAATCATTATTGCCTCATTGTTTTTATATAATGCATTTTAAGTCATTTTAAAGGCTGTTAGGTCTGTTTTTATCACCACAAAAAATATTAGGCTGAATACTTCTTTGTTAATTATTATTTGAAGTAACAAAACCATGGAACCATGTTTTTAAAAAAAAGCATTTTTATTCGTAGTAAAACTAATTTTCGTTAATTTTCATAAGGGAACATGGAATATGGAAAATTAGGTACTAAAACTGAAAAAAAAAATACATTGAAGCTGTATAGAAATATTTATAATAAATAACTATTAAGAATGAAAAAAGTACACATAAATAATAAAATTACAAAAACAAAAAAAAAAAGAAAACTAACGTACAAATTTTTTTTAAAGCTATAATAGTATATTACTAATATATGGCATAATATATACAACAAAAAACACTGCTGTAGTTCAATTCAAAACAGTTTTGAGGTGAATCTGTAACCACCATGCATTCAGATTAATGGTGGATCAATGCTGGGGTTTTTCAGTGGGAGAATTTTTAATCTTTGGCATTTTATCCACACGCAACACATCACTATTACATGGCGGATATTATGGACCAGTTCCACTAGTAGTTATGCAGTACCGGTTAATGATTCTTATAAGCTGTGGTGTATTTAATGGAAACAGGTCATCATGGGTTGGGATGTCATCATATTCTGGTCACGTGATTGGCACCTCATTGGAGTAAATTAGACACTTCCTTCATGACCTAATCAATGAATGTTTGACGTCACAGGCCTTCACATGTGACCATTAGAAATAAACAGGCTTAAATTATATTTTAATCAGTGCAATTGATTTAATTTAACACACACACACACACATATATACTGTATATATACATATATATATATATACACACACACACACATATATATATATA